ATTTTGTTGCCAAAATATTAAAGGGGACATCGCTTAATCTGGGTTAAAACTTGGTTTTTATTTTGGAAGGGAGCCTGTGGCTTTGTTATCTTTTTAAAACATGTTTATGAAAAGCACAAATTTTTTTGAAGAAAGGAAAGGACTTACTCCTAATAAGGTCAGCTTCAGATTCAGACTGTGGGGATGTCGTGCGTCTGCAAAGTGGAGGGTGTCAATGGGGGTAAAATGGGACATCTATAATACTTTTAACAATAAAGATAAATTTAAATTTTTAGAAAAAGGAATACTGCTAAGTCAGTAACTAAGAGATAATGGACATAGAGATCCTATGAACACAGAGGGTACCACCTACATAAATTATTCCCTCAATTTGGGAACCATTAATTACAGATCACTGGTAACCATTAGCCATTCTAATGCTTGTTTTGTTTTCCTTAACAGAGTATTCCTTCCATCTGGTGGCAGTTGAATGAATTGCAGGCCACAATGGTAGGCAAACCAAGCCTCTGGAATTAGGGATTAGACTGGTAGGTAGATCTCTATGGCAAATCTTCATGAGCTCTCCTACTAGGGAGAGGTAAGAGAGAATAACAACCCTTCTCCATGTGGGACTGTTAAGTTACTGAGTCCAAGGCTTGGTAAACCCAAACTATGATGTACAAGAGTCCTGGAATTAGAGTCAGTAAAGCTATTGTGGAAATCTTGTTCTGTCACCTCCTAGATGGCTCCAAAAGCAAGTTATGTAAATTCTCTGAGCCCTACTTTTCATATATTTTAAATGGAAATAATACTAATTGCCTCATAGGAGATTTGTGAGGATTAAATAAGAAAATAAAGTGTTTTTCAACAAGAAAACCCACTGCGTGGGAAAACATATTTGCCAATGTCATATCTGATAAGGGCCTAATCTCCAAAATTTATAGGGAACTCATACAACTTAACAAAAGGAAGATAAACAATCCAATCAAAAAATGGGCAAAGGATCTAAATAGACACCTTTCAAAAGAGGACATTCAGAAAGCCAAGAGACATATGAAAACATGCTCAAAGTCACTAATCATCCGAGAGATGCAAATCAAAACAACAATGAGGTACCATCTCACACCTGTCAGACTGGCTATCATCAACAAATCAACAAACAACAAGTGCTGGAGAGGATGTGGAGAAAATGGAACACTCATGCACTGCTGGTGGGAATGCAGACTGGTGCAGCCACTATGGAAGACAGTATGGAGTTTCCTTAAAAAACTAAAAATGGAACTCCCATTTGACCCTGTGATCCCACTTCTAGGAATATATCCCAAGAAACCAGAAACACCAATCAGAAAGGATATATGCACCCATATGTTCATAGCAGCACAATTCACCATAGCTAAGATCTGGAAACAGCCTAAGTGCCCATCAGTAGATGAATGGATTAGAAAACTGTGGTACATCTACACGATGGAATACTACGCTGCTGTAAAAAAGAAGGAATTCTTACCATTTGCGACGGCATGGATGGAACTGGAGAGCATTATGCTAAGTGAAATAAGCCAGTCAGTGAAGGAAAAATACCACATGATCTCACTCATTCATGGATAATAAAGACCATTACAAACTTATGAACAATAATAGATACAGAGGCAGAGCTGCCTCAAACAGATTGTCAAACTGCAGCCGGAAGGCCGGGGTGGGTTGGGGGGCAGGAGAGAGGGGGGTAAGAGATCAACCGAAGGACTTGTATGCATCCATATAAGCATAACCAATGGACATAAGACACTGGGGGGTAAGGGAGGCCAGGGGATTGTCAAGGGCATGGGGAAAAAAAAGGACACATATGTAATACCCTTTGTAATACTTTAAGCAATAAAAAAATAAATAAATAAAAAGAAAGAAATAAAAAAATAAAAAAAATAAAGTGTGTTTTTTTTGTCAAACTGCAAAGTACTAGTACATTACACATACTGGGTTAATTATCATTATTAGTCACCATCAATATTTGGCCTGGATACCAGGTGATACTGGTTAACAGGGTCTTGGCAAATCTGTAAACCTGATGTGACAGTTATATTATTTTTGAAAATACAAAGTTAATAGGACCTGGGCTTGATTACAAGAAAACTGACACACAAAAGCAGTTTCTAAGCTTTCCCTCCTGTGAAATACAGGGTATCAAACACTCTAGCTGCTTGAATCATTTAGAACTGGTACATTAACTTGATAATATACCTATAAACTGGAATCTAATTCAGATCTTTAGTAAATTTCTATTATAGAAATAAAAAATGAGTATGCAGGATCAGTTTAAAATGTATGCTGATTGGTGCTAAAAGAAAATCAAGATGTTGGGGAAACTACTTCAGTGTCCATGGGGGGGTATTTTGCACAATTATTGTGTTTTAGGTGAATATTTAACTGGGTGAAAAAATGCTCACAATATATTAAATAAAAAAGGGCAAAGTGCAAAGAGTATGTTTTGGGGCTGACTGCTAATAGGTTTGGGGTTTCTTACTGGGGTGATGGAAATGTTCTGGAATTAGATAGTGGTGATGGTTGCACTTCATAGTGAATATATTAAAAGCCACTGTATTATACACTACAGTGAATTTTGTTATTTGAATTATAACTCAATAGAATGGGGAAAACGGTATATATAGTGTATGAAAACAATGTATACACATATGAATTTGTATAGACAAAAGTACAGGTCACATAACAACGTTACCACTGGTTCTATCTATTGGTATGCATTTACAGATGACTTCAAATATCTTATTTTAGAAAAGAAGCCATGTGTAAGTAAAAGAGGTATTTGAGAAAAGTCACTTGTATAATTTTCCTTTCATTTAGAGCATTA